GTTCTTAGGAGGAGTTTTGGAAAAATATGACGTCAACGAAAGAGCCATAGGCTAGATCACAGCTTCCTGATGAATCCAGTTCTATACCATAAACGTCAGTTCTTGGCCTTGTCTGCCTTGGTTGAAGCTTTGTGAGTCTCTTCCAGAGTGACAACTAAGGCCCAGCCAAAGAGATTGGGCTTTTTCAGACCCAATTGTCACAGTTTTGGAGGGAGTTTTATTTTCACACTGGGTTTTGTTATATAATCCTGTCAGCCCTGGTACTAAGCAGCGTAGACAGACAAGGCCTTATACTTGTGACAATCCTCCTGCTTCAGTCTCTTGCCTTGAATTAAAGATGTATGTCATGATGCCCATGTGAGTGTCACATTTTTATCCTAATGACACATTTGAATAATTGGACCTGTTTTATTTTATCTTATAGGGTTACATAAGGTCATTTCCATGCAAGTGTATAGTGTACTTTTAGCATTCTCTCCTTACCACACTACCCACTTCTCATTAGTTCTTTGTTCCTCTACATACTTTCTCTTCTGCTCTCATGTCAACTGTACATATATAGATACATACATAAGTATCTATAAAATCTGTGACTCACAATGAAGAAAATATGTGACATTTGTCATTCTGAGGCTGCTATCTCATTGAGTGTGATCATCTCCAGAAAATGCATTTTTCCTGAAGGTAATATAACGTCATTCTTCTTGCTGACTGAAAAAAATTCCAGCCACATTTTCTTTATCCTTTCTTCTGTTTTGGGAAATCCAGATTGGTTCTATGACTTAGCCGCTGTGAACAGTACTGCAATGAACATTGATGTGTAGATACCTTTGTGTCCCAAAGGAGTTCCATAGCCAGGCTGTATGATAGATCTAGTTCTAGCTTTTTGAGGAATATCTGCACTGATGTCCATAGTGACTAGACTAGTTTATATTCCCCTCAGCACTCTAGAAGGATTCCTTTTGGCCCATATACTAAGCATCATTAGATACTATTTTCTTGATAACTCACATTCTGACTGGGGTGTGATGGCATCTCAATGTAGTTTCTTTGTGTGGATAGAGTTTAAAGTTTCCTTGTTGGATTCTGCCAAGTCAGTCAAATCTCCACTAGACACCCTTAAAATCACATTGGGGTGTGTGCAGTCCCGAGGGCTTAGGCTGCTACTGCAGAGACCTGTCTGTCAACTTTTTTTTTTTCCAGCTAGGCAACCTGCCTCTCCCAGCCCAGTTTCCTAAATCTTGGGTGTGTTTCTCGAGAACATATGAGATTTTATGGTTCAAAACACCTTCACCGGTTACAGGGCTCACAGTGGTTGCTGTGAGGAGGCAGAGCAGTTGTGACAGCTCTTGACAAACTTTGCACTGGGAGTTCTGCTGCTTGGATGGTGAGATCTTGGGACACAGACTTACAGACTCACACTCGCTGTTGGGATGAGAATGTTGACTCTCAGACTTGAAAAAGTCCAGTTTCTCTGGCGAGGTCCTAACTTTCAGCTTCTCAAAGACAGTCTTGTTTGAGGACTCTGTTCATGACATAGGAGTTTATCCAGACCTTGTGAGCTAGCCTGTGGCTATTGATCCCACATTGTAGCGTATCCAGAATTCTCTTTAAGAAAGCCAGTGTTTCTTTAAGGCTGTTCTCTTCATCTTCTAGTCTACCCCAGCATGAGTTTGAAAGCACTGTCACAACAACACACCACTGTGAGATGACACACAACACAGCCTGTTCTCATGATCCCGGAGGTTGGAAGTGTGACCTCCAGGGTCACTAGGTCTGCTTTCTCTGAGGCTCTGTTTGTGGACTGTAGCGAGCATCTTCCCCTTTATATGGCCTGAAGTTGACATATGTTGTGTCCTGACCTCTTGTTGGATAAGGACCCACAGGAATGACCTTGTCTTGACCCATTTCTAGGAAGATTGTGCTTTTAAATAAAGTTACATTCTGGGGTGCTTCTATATGTTAATTTTGGGGACTCTTTTTGTTGCTAACAACAAGTTGAACTCAGTCCCTCTTCTATTAGTTCACTCACATCAGCCCATGGGCTGGTGAATATGCCCTGTAAACAGATCTGGGAGGGTCAGAAGGTTTGAAAGTTCAGGACCGGGGACACCACCCTTGGGTCAGAACCTGTAGTTGAGGAAGAGCTGGAGAGCTCTTGCCTGCTTCCTGACACGAGGGTGGGGGCAGTAAGTAGAGGATGGCTCATGGATACTCCTGTAAAAAGAAAATGCACCAGCATTTGTGGAGATGGAGAGTGGAGGCTGATTTTGTATCAACTGCTCTTCTTCTCTGTGGATTTAGCTAAAATCAGAACTTGAGTTGACTGTGGGACATCCCCTCATTACTGTCTGGGACCTGCTAACTGTGTAAATAATGGGCTGAATTCCATCAAGTTCTAGCTGTTGCACAAAGAATATGTGTTGATATTGAAAGTCCAGGAAATAATTCTCCTTTTATGGAAGTTGAAGTTCTCTCTCTCTCTCTCTCTCTGTCTCTCTGTCTCTCTCTGTCTCTCTCTCTCTGTCTCTCTCTGTCTCTCTGTCTCTCTGTCTCTCTGTCTCTCTGTCTCTCTCTGTCTCTCTCTCTCTCTCTCTCTCTCTCTCTCTCTCTCTCTCTCTCTCTCTCTCAGATAGGGTTTTATTATGTAGCTCTGACTGGCCTGGAAGTCTCTATGTAGACCAGTCTGGAACTCACAAGGATCTACCTGCCTCTGCCTCCCAAGTGCTGGGATTAAAGGTGTGCACCATTATGTCATACACATTTCTGAAGTTTGGCTGAAGTGTTCTGCTAGTTAATGCACAGAAACCCTGAGCTTCCAGATGGATGAGCTGATGTTTACTGACTTGACCATACGATGTGAAAATACTGGTACTGCTGATCCCTCTTTGATAGTTGGGTTAGATGTAGTCTGTGGACCAGGTTAGGGAGGTTAGACAGGGTCCTTAGTGTGCACCAGCCAACACAACACTGACTACAGTTGTGTGGACCAGAGATCAAACCTTCCCACAGCCCATTACAGGGATGGAAGGAGAGTATCTATGTGTGATCATGTAAGATCATGCCAGCCAGCCAGGACATTTAGAGTGCAGGTTATTGGAGTAGTCTTAATCTGGGAGTTTGCTGAGAAGGGCAAGATGCTCTTGCCTGCCTGAGTGAACTCCTAGCTGGGGTGCTCAGTGGGTACATTGGTCCGATGGGCCACCATCCCAGGCATCTGGAAGCCTGGAGAATAGGAACCTCTGCTGTGGTCCTTGCTGGAGTCACTTGTCGGGTCAGGGTACTGACCACGACTTGCCACTGTTCTCATTGCTGTCGTACGTACACTTGTGTTCTGCCCCCGCCTCTCTTTCTTTCTTGGACATGGTGGACAACACTCTTGACCCCCAAGGACAAAGCTCAGCTCTCCTCCTCCCCAGGGTTTCATGCCTTTGTAGAAGTTACAGCCAAGGCTCTGCTGATCTCTGTGTCTGTCAAAATGTCCCCTCCCATACCTCCACACTTCATCCTTCCCTGTCAGAATGTCCCCTCCCATACCTCCACACCCTAGCCTCGGGGAGTCTGGACAGCCATGCCATCCCTTTCCTGTAGCCCCACATTCTTCAACACTTAACACAGTGGGTTCCTAGGTGGGATCTCTATAATCTCTATGCCTGCCACACTGTCCTGGATTTTGAGAAAATACAATCAAGATCTAGACAATTGCAGAAGGGTGGATGGATTGTAAATATCTCTTGTTTATTTCTCCATTGCAAATAAGTAGGCTGATATAGAGCTAGCAAGAGTTTGGTCTAAAACCAGGAAGAACGATAATGAATATGCTGTAGAGGAACATACTCAGTTCCTCTCCAGCAGAGAAGCACGTGGGTTCTAGGTAGGAAGAATGGAGTCTGTGAGAGGGAATGCTGGAATTTTTTTTTTTTTTTTTTTTTTTGGTTTTTCGAGACAGGGTTTCTCTGTGTAGCTTTGCGCCTGTCCTGGAACTCACTTGGTAGTCCAGGCTGGCCTCGAACTCACAGAGATCCGCCTGGCTCTGCCTCCCGAGTGCTGGGATTAAAGGCGTGCGCCACCACCGCCCGGCTATGAATGCTGGAATTTTTTACTGAGGAAAAGTGGGGGATGGTGTGGGGCCAAGATCCTACACTCTGGAATTTTCAAGCGCCTAGAGTCTCTTCTGTTAGCTCAGTGGAGGTACAGGACCATCATAGCCTCCTGCCCCTCCCAAGCAGCAAGGGGTCAGGAAGTGCTGTTCTCACGGTATCTCTTTCTCTCTCTAGAAGACCAGGAAGTTTAGTGCACTTGGCTTCATGTCAAGATACTATTACAGTGCCTTAATTGTCAGGAACCGTCCGCTGGGCTATAAAAGTCAACGGTAGTGAGGGCAGAGAAAATATTCCTTTCTTCCTTTCTCTGGTGAGATCACTGGCCATCCTCTCCATCTCAAGGCAGTCCTTTCAGAAGAGCAGGACTACTTCTTGGTGAGCATTTCCAGTGTGGGCTGTGATACCTGGTAATGGAGGCCAGCTGTTAGGGGGAAGGTGACTTGGGAAGTGGTGAATCCATGTCCTTAGTTAAGGGGGAGATTGCTCTTGAGCACCATGGCCCAGAACTTTCTAGCACATAGGGAGCCTCCACCTGCTCTCCAGAGGAGCCATTTCTTGACTCAGCCATTTCAGCTGTGGAAGGAGATCTAGTGCTCTCCAAACTCATTCAAGAAGAATCCCAGGAAGGAAGACCCCTCCCCACCCCCCATGCCTTGATAGAGGGTGGGTATCTTTTCCAGTTTTTATCCTTCCAAATGGCCACATCCAGCATAAAGCCAGTATTTGATAAATTTTGGCTTTCAGAAAGAATGAGTGAATGAACAAATGAATGATTGGATGCCTACTTGGACAAACAACACAGTCTGGTGTGTGGATTGCTGAATTACAGGTCTGAACCCCATAGCTCTGACCCCACTGTCCTCTCTTGCACCTCATGCAGTGGTCTCAGAAGTCACCATGGCCTGGTCCTGCAGCCTGAAGAGCCTCCTCACAGTCTTTGTCTTTACCATCTTCGCTGTCCCCATCAGCTCTGCGGGTAAGAGTAAACATGGTATTCCTTTCTCCTGAAGAAGGGGGAGGTGAGCAGTCAGAGCCTTGGGGAGGTCACCAACCACATGAGACTCTGGTGGTCTGTCTAGCCCCTCACGGCTTCTTGGCTCCTAGGAAATATCAACTACAAGGCTCTGGGCTTACCTTTCAAATGATGTACATTTCCTCCTTGCAGACAATTACCAGTGTATAGCACATCAATGTGGAAATGAAACATGTCCTTCAACCACAGATGTTTGTACAACCACTAAAGGCTGCTTCAACCAAATGCAGGAATTTTATACACCGTGTAAGTCAACCCTCACACCTTGAACATCCTCCAGGTTATCTTCCTTCCTTTCAGGATGAGACTGGGAGCCTGGGGTTCTTTCTGGGAAGTGGTGGAGATGGAGCATGCGCTTGTTGTAGGACCTACATTCTACATGGTGAGGACCATTTGGGTGTGACTTCATTCTGACTTTCACAGTGTCGGGGATCAAACTCGGGGCATCACGCATGCTAAGCAAGTACTGTACCCCCAGTCACTCCCTTTGTAGCAAATGGTCCCTCTGTTGGTTTGTTCTCTGAAACAGACCACTGCAGAGGGACTCTTGGAGAAGTGCAGTGCTCAGGGCAGAGGGAATGAAGGGACAGGTTCTTTACCACTAGCTCAGGAGGAAAATTTACTTGGTGGTTCAATTTTCTGCAGTTCCAGATACGTACCAAATGTTTAAGCATAAAGGGTGTGCTGAAGAAATGGACACATGCAATGAACTGGAATTCTCAGCCACGCTGGGGGCTCAACGGAGATTTACATATGTGAACCGGTGCTGCACAACTGCGCAGTGCAACCAAGACAACATAACTCGTGAGTACAGCTCCTGCCTGTGCCCCGCCACCTGCTCAGGGCTCCTCTGCCTTTCTAGGGGTCCATCTCTCTGTAGCCCTGACACTTGCCTTCCCCTTTTGCTTGAAGCTTTCGTTTGTAAGGGTCTGGGTTATATACAAGCCCCTCTCTTGAGTATGTGTGTACACACTTGCATATACAGACTGAGTGACAGCTTGGCAGCAGTAATTGGTCCTGGGTCTATTCTCTAAGTAGATTCAATGAATCCGTAGGTTTAAATCCTTTGGTCTGCTTCTCCAGTTGAGAGACTTTCCTCCCCTATTTTGTTCCTCATCTTGGATTTTTGTGTGGTTGAGATGGAGTCTTGCATGTATCCAGGCTTCTGTTATATTACTGAGATCAAGCAAGCCTCCTGCCTCAGCCTCCAAAGTTGAAGTAGCTGGGAGTACAGGTGTATGTGACCAACTATATAGGCAACACTGGGGGACCAACAGACATTTAGATATAACCAGCAATGCTGTAACACTGCTAAGTGTGACCAAGAGAGCACACAATGTGAGTCCAGCTCGTCTCTGCACCCTTGATACCTGCACCATGGCTCCTCTGGCCATCTGTGGACTCCTCCCTGCACTGGGATGCTTCAGAGCTGCGAGCTTGTCTTTCCTTTTGCCTGAGGCCCCTGTCCTTGGGAAGCATAAGGGTAGATACAAGCCTCTTGCCTGGATGGGCGAATGAGTGATAGTGAGTGCCATGGATTGGTACTCATTCTTTTCATCGAGTCTATTGATTTAAATGTGCTTCCCACCCCCAGCTGAGAGATTTTCCTCACCTGTTTAATTCTTCATCTTTGTTTTGTTGTGGACATGGGATCTTGCTGTGTTTCCCAGGCTTGTCTTGAATTCCTAGATTCAAGTAATCCTCCCGCCTCAACCTCCCAAGTAAGAGTAGCTAGGAATGTATGGGCTTGTCATGCCTGGCTAATTCCTCACCCTTTGGTCAGCATCTTTTTAGATGGCAGATCACTTCCTTACCCAATGTCTAGGAATTTTTCTCCTGCCATAGTAGAGAGCCGAGTGGCTGAAGAAAGGTGAGGATAGATGGGTGCACAATTACTACCAAAGGATCTCAGATTCCTGCCTCCTGTTCCCTCCTCCCATGGCATTTTAGTTCTTTCTTTTTTTTTTCTGATCATGAAAGAACTATATGGTATTGGATTGGGTGAAGTAGTAATGTTCTTTCTCAGCTATTGTTTCCTGCCTATTCCTCAAGATAAATACCCCTTTCTCTCTATTCAGTATCTCTGCCACCTGCAGAAGCCAACGGTGTTCAATGTCTCTCCTACTATATGGAATCAGGTGTGCTGAATATCCCAACTCTCCTGAGCTGCACAGGAAATGAGACAAAGTGTGGTTTGGTTATCGGCACAGGTATGATTATTTCCTCAAGCATTGTGACGCTCATATTGTTAAGGGCACATACAGTGTATCAGCCATTTATTACTACACAGATAATTGTGCCACAGCTTAACAGGTGAAAACAGGAAATAGTAATCAGCATTCAGTATCCGAACGTCTATACACTGAGAACAGCATTGCTGTGCGGCTATCTTAGGGTGTCTCATCAAGCTGAGTTCTGTTGTTGGTATAAGTTGTGGTCCTTTAGATGCCCAGGGTGTCTCGTGGTTCTTCAGATGGAGGTTCTGCTTCCCAGCTCATTCTTGGCTTTTGGTGGGTCTCACTTTCTCTTCCTCTGGTCTCTTCATAGGATGCCAGGGTTCTCCTAACATATCCTCCTGCTTCTCTCTCAGAGAAGTGATGAGAGGCAGGCATAGAGTCATTGGTGGAGTTGAGATTTTTCAAGCCCTCATCTTAGAAGTGACATATCATTTCAGCTTGTGCCCTATTGGGCACATAGATTAACCCAGGTGTGACATGGGTGGATTCAATGGATTCAACACTTGGGCACCTCTGCCAGGAGATGGGCATGATGGGGGCAGATCATCTTAGAAGCTGTTCTCTCTGTAGAGCAAGGGCAACAAGGGACCGAGTGTTTGATTGTCCCTCTAAACCTCAGATGGAGCCATTTATCCTGAGAAAAAAGGGTGGCAGAAGAAGAGTTGAGCTAGGGGATGGGAACTGAGGGAAGGAGAGGAAAAAATTTAACTGCTTCCCACAGAAGAATCAAGTTTGGGTACCTGTGTTGCTATGATATTCTGGAATGGGACCTTGACTCAGAAGTGCACAGAGCAATGACACTTGAGTTCCAGAAGCCATCATCACTCTTGGGATGACTCAGACTCCATCGATAAGCACTCAAGTTTTGCTTAAAGCCACTGACTTTAGTGAAATATTTATAATTTCCCATGTAAGAGAAAAGTATGTATTTGTTGTGAGGGGCACAGATACATTTCAGGAATTAACTGCTAAAATAACTGTAGGGTTTTGGTCTGGTCTGTACGCTGCAGGGATGAGCTAGCAAATCCTCATCAAAACATGGAAGGCTCTGCGGAATCCGTGGTGTAGTAGGAGCTGGTTAACTGGAGGATTGAGAGCTTGATGAGACTGGAGCCAAGCTATGTTTTTATTTGGAAAGAATTTTGACAGAGGTTCTGGGGTGAGCAAGGGAAGGGCCCTTTGTCTAGAAGAGTTGAGATGAATGAAGAAAACGGGGTGTCATAGAATACAGAAGAGAGTTGAAGCCATCCACAGTGGGACAGGCTTCTACCTCAGTTTACCCCGGGAAACATAGACATCCAGTGTGTTCCATAGTTATTCTTATAGAGAACTCAGAGCCCTCAGAAGAAGGGGAGCCTGGGTAGAGAAGACAGGCACCTTAGAAGGGTTTTCGTCAACAGTTGAGGCCCTGCATCTGGCCTTCTTCCCTGTGGGCAACATGCTCATCTCTCCTAGAGAGGCATTCAGAGGCCCCAGTGTTAGCCTTGTGTCTGAGATGCGACGGTCCCTATAAGGTTCCTTCTGTACTGGGAAGAAGACAATGGGACCAGAGGACACTTCGGCTGGGCCTCTGCATGGATGGAATGGAGATGAGCTCATGCATCTCAGTCAAGAGGAAGAAGTCGTGGACTCTGGACCATTCTGAGCACAGTTTCCTTTCCCAGTGCATGTGGGTTTTGAGGGCAGAAGAGAGGAGAGGGGAAACTAACTCTTGGGTCTTCTTCTTAGTAGTGGGAAGCAGCAACCCCTTTTCCTTGGTGATGGCCGGAATGGGCTGTGCGACAGAAAGTGCCTGCAACCTGACTGTGACTGTCCTCAACCAGACAAACATCCGCACCTTCTGCTCCGATGAGTTCGTTGTATCTCCAAGCCGGCCATCAGTTCCGGATAGCACGGACAGTGCGGGCAGCATGGGCTTTCGACCTACAGCCATCTCAACAGTACCAATTCTGATTACTCTCCTCCTACTGAAAGTCTTGTTTTGATCTTCCAGGCTCAGCAGTCCCATAGTCCTCCACACACATTCGGAGGGCGTCCTTCAATGTAGGAGAATTAAAAGCTGGTGATTGCTTGGCTTGTTTGTATTTCAGCGTAAAAAACCCCAATCCATTTTCAGTTTTACTTAATTTTAAAAATTGTGTGTGTGTGTACATGTGTGTGTGTGAGGGTGTGTGTGTGTCTGTCTGTGTGTGTGTTGCCGGTGGAGTTCAGAAGAGGGTGTCAGATCTCATTCAACTGGAGTTACAGGTGGCGTGAGATGCCTGATGTGGGTGCTGGGGACTGAACTCTGGCTCTTTGTAAGAGTACGATTTTAATTGCGGAGCCATCTCTCTAGCCCCCTATGATCCGTTCTGAAACAGTCTCTCTCTTCACTCTTCGTAGTGTTTCGAAGCTGTTGAGAGGGCATTCGTGAGATTCTCTTTAGTCCTACTTTTGTTTCCAAACATCCCTTGAGTCACATATCCTGGAACATATCTTTTCTGATTATTAATTTCTGTTCATAATTTGTAATTGATTCTTATTAAGAAAAATGAATTTGAATGGATAATTCAGGGTCTTGGAGGATCATTTCCCACAGTTTATCATAACACAGCTCAAATGTAGGTAGATATGATGGTACATAAGCTCATAGCACTCAGGATGTTGAGGCAGGATTACTGCGTGTCTGAGGACATCATGTGCTTTATAGTGAGTTCCAGGCTAGTTGGGACTACATAGAAGACCTTGTTTCAAAAAAAATAGAATAAAACAAAATAAGATACAAATAAAAGAGGAAATGTCAGGCACCTCCAGAACTCTCTCACCTCAGAACCATGAGCATGGAATCATCACCATCTACTCACTCTGCATATCTCTGTATTTTAGTAGGGGTGGGCCCCAGGGTACAGGCAGTGGATGTCTGTCAAGGAAGTTATAAATACTCGCTTTAAATTATCAAAATATTTCCCCCAAGGTCCCAGAAAGCTGTCTCCTCTCATGGCGGAGTTTGGGCCATTGCTAGCTCCCACCACACTTCCTGCATGCCAGTGAGGCAAGGGGACTCCATGAGAGAAAGTCTTGCATATAACCCAAACTTTACCATGTTCTTGTGGCACTGACCTACAATAGAACAATCCTGCACAAATGGGCCCCTCAGTTCTTGGATTCAGTTTCCAACAGGGCCCAGCATGTCTCCTGAGGTTTCATGAAGGAGAGGAGAGCCCTGGTGGTTTCTTCATATGTGAGAACTGTCTCTCTGCACCCACCAGGCCTGGCTGTGGTCCTCCTGCTACATATCCTCTTTCCTTCCTGGTATGAGTTACAAGGCTTCTCTAAGCTCTGCCTACAGTCCTCTGTGGACTGACAGGAACACCCTTCCCCAGGCCTGTCCACAGCCCTGCACATTCTGGATGCACTCCATCTGTGTGGGGTGGATTTTATGCTCCAGGAGGGGCCTTAGTCTGAATATGAGAGAAGCCCAACCCTTAGATTGCTGTTTGGAGGCGATACACTTGTTTAAACCAACGATGTCCATTGTGTGAACCATGGTGTATGTGGCAGGGAAATCTATTTACTTTGATCCACTGGGATATGAAGGATTTGGGTTATATCCGTTAGCTTGCTTGGCTAACCCATTCTAATTTCAATGGGAGGATCAGAGATAGTTGGTCCCATCTAAAAACCTCAGTCTCTAAATGTCCCTAGAAATCTTGTCCTTTGCCAGGAAGTTGGAATTTCTGACAGCTTGATTAAATCAGGGGGAGTCTAGAGCAAACACAGTCACTGGGTTTTGGTCCAGGTAAGGTAGGAAAATTTCTCTTAGCCTCTACCCTCAGGGCTATGTGAACACTGCTGTGGGGTGTGCTCAGCTCCAACACCTCTGTGGGGGTGTTGGACTCCTACACCACAGTGGGGTGTGCTCAGCTCCTACACCGCTGTGGGGGTGCTGGACTCCTACACCACAGTGGGGTATGCTCAGCTCCTGTGGGAGTACTTGGCTTCTACACCATTGTGGGGGTGTGCTGTGGGATGGTCTGTATGTCAAATGCTCTGATTGGTCAATAAATAAAACACTGATTGGCCAGTGGCCAGGCAGGAAGTATAGGCGGGACTAACAGAGAGGAGAATTGAGAGAACAGGAAGGTGGGAGGAGACACTGCCAGCCGCTGCCATGACAAGCAGCATGTGAAGATGCTGGTAAGCCACGAGCCACGTGGCAAGTTATAGGTTTATAGAAATGGATTAATTTAAGATGTAAGAACTGGATAGCTAGAAGCCTGAGCCATTAGGCCAACAGTTTAAACAATATAAATCTCTATGTGTTTACTCGGTTGGGTCAAAGTGGCTGTGGGACTGGTGGGTGAGAGAGGTTTGTCCTGACTGTGGACCAGGCAGGACTGGAGAAGACTCCAGCTACAGGGGTGCTCAAGTCCTACACTGCCATGGGGTGTGCTCAACTCCTTTCAGTGATCCTCCTCCCCCCAGTACAGAACTTACACATCCATGGAGCCACAAAACCCAACTTTCTTATCTTGCCTGAAGCAGGGAAGGGCAACTCACTCATTATTTGCTGAAAGTAGAAAGCAACACATATACATAAAAGACACAGGGAGGCTTGAGGGATGATTTGGGGGTTAAGAGCACTTGTTGCTCTTACAGAGGACCCAGGCTCTCACATAGTGGTTCACAACTGCCTGAAACTCTAGTTCCAAAGGGTCATATTTCCCTTCGGGCTTCCCTGGGCATCAGGCATGCATGTGGTGCATATACATGCATGCAAGCGAAACACTCATACATGTAAAATACATATATTTTTTTTTTTTGGTTTTTCGAGACAGGGTTTCTCTGTGTAGCTTTGTGCCTTTCCTGGAACTCACTTGGTAGCCCAGGCTGGCCTCAAACTCACAGAGATCCGCCTGGCTCTGCCTCCCGAGTGCTGGGATTAAAGGCATGCGCCACCACCGCCCGGCCATATTTTTTTTTAAAGACACAAAACTTTTAAGAATTTGCATGTTGGCTGGAAGTGGTGGTGCAGGCCTTTAATCCCAGTACTCAGGAGGCAGAGGCTGGTGGATCTCTGAGTTCAAGAGAAACTCTGTCTTGAAAAACAAAACAAACAAAAAAGAATTTGCATATTGTTTTTATTTGTTTCATGCTCAAAGTTGAGGAAGTAGGAACGGTGTGTGGGTCCTCCTAGGATCCCACTCATTGCTTGCTGACCATCAATTGCCCCTTTCTCATGACGAGAGAGCTGAATTTTGTTAACGGTAAAAGTTCTTGATGTATTTTGGGGACCTCTGATGAGCTGGCCACTGATCTCTGCAGTTGCCAAGCATGAACTCAGCTCCTGATTGCACAGTTTTTTTTTAATAGTGTGTATACTGTCCTCATCCCCAGCTAACAGGAAAGGAAGCAGCAACAGAGAGGCGAGGTGGGTTGTTTTGCTAGTAGACGTGGAACTGAGAGTTCGGCCTAACCGACCATTAGGGAAAAGAGTCAGGTTGCCACTCTAGGAGCTGTAGAAATTTAAGTCTGGGAACAGGGTGTTTTGTCTACCTTTGTTAACTGAGATTTCTGTTGTGGCCATAGCAAATCACAATACAACTGGTGGCTTGAAACAGCACAACGTCACAGTTCTGGAGGCGAGTCTGGAACGAGTTTTCCTGAGCTAAAGTTCAGGTGTTCAGAGCCGGTTTCTCTGTGGTTGAGCACGTGGGGACCCATTTCCCTGTCTGTACAGTGGTCAGTGATCACCTGCATTCCTTCACTCTCCTGCATCTTCCGCAGACATCCCTCTGCTCCGAGTCTGGCTCACAGCCTCTTCCTCTGGGGCCCTTCCTTCTTTCCTTGGGGACCCTTGTAGCTGACCCGTGTAATACAGGGAATGTTCCCATCTCAGGAGCCTTATCTACTTGGGCAAAGTCTCTCTCACCTCATAAGAATAACACAAATGGTGTTGGGGGTTAGGATGTGTGCTTATTTATAGACTAGTCTTCAGCCGATCATACAACCTACCAATTAAAAAATGTCCCAACATTCTGTAAGGTATTCATAAGCGAGGCTGGTTGGAACTGGGTGCAGTTCTGCAGATGGTCCTGTACTGGGCTGTGGCCATTTTTGGGAGCAAATTCAGCCGACACAAAGCATGTTAGGTTATGGAGAGAGCAGTCCTTTGAGAGAGTTATTGCTGGAGCTTTTCTACAAGGAACTCTGGACATGACGCATGGTGTTCCATGTGATGTTTGGTAAAAACAAGGGCTCCCTTCTATTGCCTCCTGATGAAACAGCAAAACATGGTGTGAAACATCATAGACCATCATGCCAAGCAGCTGGTGAGACATGTTTGATTTGGTGGCCTAAAGACCAGGGAAGGAGTTTCTCTGCTTGCTGTTGTCTCTGTTGGTTGCCACTCCTTCCTCTCTGAACACAGAGGGACATGGTGGTGGTAATCAGCAGGTTCTCTGTCACCACCCCTGGCTCCTTCTTGGGTGTGTTCCTACAATAAAGGCTTAGTGTTTTCCCAGCTCCAGTCCCACCTTTCTAATCTGTCCAGTGATATATGAAGCATGCAGTCATGAAGCTCCCTTTGTGCCTGTGACTACTGCCCCACTCTAGCAAACCCACGCCTGGCACCATGTGGTGGTTTAAAGGAAAATGGCCCCCATAGGCTCAGAGGGAGTGGCACTGTTAGGAGGTGTGGCCTGGTTGGAGGAAGTGTGTCACTGAGGGTGGGCTTTGAGGTCTCAGATGCTCAAGCCATGCCCGGTGTGGCCTTCTCTCCCTGTTGTCTGCCGATCTGGATGTAGAACTCTCAGCCCCTCTCCAGCATCATGTCTGCCTGCATGCCATCATGTTTCCAACCATGACAAAAAAAATAGACTAACCCTCTGAAACTGTAAGCCAGCCCCAGTGAAATGTTTTCCTTTAGAAGAGTTGCCATGGTTATGATGTCTCTTCACAGCCATAGAAACCCCAACTAAGACACACCAGAAGCCCCTGCCCATTC